TCCCAGGTGCTGCTTCCTTGCCAATGGGTAGGGGCAGCCTGGGGGTGCCTCAGGGCCCAGGTAGAGCCCGCGGATTGGGAGTCCTCATGGCCTGGCAGCCAAACAGGCTTGAAATGGGGACCCAAAGCAGAGAGGATGCTTGGATGCTCTTACCAGCTGCCAGCTTCACGTCTCCTGAGTTGGGGGATCTCTGGTCCCCTGTCCTGCTTTGTGGCCAAGGGAGCCCAGGATCCTGGCCAGAGGATGGGCCTGCGCCCCACTCCTGGTTCTGGGTGCAGCTCGGCAGATGGGAATCCAGGAGCTCAGCTTGGGCACCCTCCCCACCTTCAGCTCCAAGCCCGGTTCCAAGAGGACCCAGGGCTGAGCAGAGGCTTGTCCCCAAGATCCTCCCCTGCCCCTCATCTTTCCTATTTGAGGGAAGACTGAGACCCTCAAAGTCCAGCTGGAGGCATCCCTGCCCATTCTGCTTGGACTTAGCACACCCTGGTCTCTGCTCTAGGAATCTGCCCTCCACCCCCCCATTCTGGGGGTCCACCCAACACCCACACACACTTCCACAGACCACCCTCTCTCTCCCTTTTGGCCATGCCCTCCTCTCCCAGGATCCCAGATGTGCAGCTGTCCTCCTCTGAGGCTCTGCCTCTGTTCTCAGGAGGCTGGGGCCAGGCCAGCTGTTTTCTCTGGGCAGCCAGCTGTTTTGCCCATCAGGAAGCAGTCCTGGCTCCTCTGCTAAAATCGTTGCTGTGGCTGCAGCGTGGCAGCCCTACTGAGCCAGGTCCTGGGAGCTGTTAACTCCTCTGGGTCCAGGCAGCCCCTTCCCTCTCTCAGCCCTGATCCCTTCTGCTTCCCCCGGACCCACAGAACTAGCCCATCGCAGGACTTCTAGAGACCCCAAGAAAACCAAGTTTTGCTATCCCCACCCCCTTCAGCAACTCCTAACTCCCGCCCTGCTCCACAGAGCCTTGTCCTCAGGTGAACCCAGCAGGAAGCTCAAAGGGATAAACGTTAACCTTATTCAGAATAATAATAATAGCTATCATTAACCGTTTGCTGTGTGCCAGGCATCTGCTAAGTGCTTTTTTTGGGGATGGGCAACGGAATCTCACTCTGTCACCCAGGCTGGAGTGCAATGGCATGATCTCGGCTCACTGCAGCCTCTGCCTCCCAGGTTCAAGCGATTCTCCTGCCTCAGCCTCCTGAGTAGCTGGGATTCCAGGCATCTGCCACCACACCCAGTTGATTTTTGTATTTTTAGTGGAGATGGGGTTTCACCATGTTGGTCAGGCTGGTCTCCAACTCCTGACCTCAGGTGATGTACCTGTCTCAGCCTCCCAAAGTGCTGGGATTACAGGCGTGAGCCACCGCACCCAGCCTGCTAAGTGCTTTAAATGTATTATCTAACTTGATTTTCACAACAACCCTGTGAAGTCAGGAATTCTTTTTTTTTTTTTGAGACAGATTCTGTTGCTGTGTCGCCTAGGCTGGAGTGCAGTGGTACTATCTTGACTCACTGCAACCTCTGCCTCCCCGGTTCAAGCAATTCTCCTGCCTCAGTTTCCCAGCTTGTAGCTGGGACGACAAGCACGTGTCACCATGCTCAGCTAATTTTTGTATTTTTAGTAGAGACAAGGTTTCACCATTTCACCATGTTGACCAGGCTGGTTTTGAACTCTTGACCTCAAGTGATCTGCCCGCCTTGGCCTCCCGAAATGCTGGGATTACAGGCATGAGCCACCATGCCTGACCAGTTGGGAATATTTTTGCTTTACAGAAGAGGAAACTGGGAAACTGAGGCACAGAGAATCTAAATAAATCACTTGCCCAAGCTCATCCAGAGTTGGGGTTTGGGGTTTGAAACCAAGTCTGCCCGTCTCACTCTGGCCAGCCCTGGCGGCTCTGGAACTGCTGTTGGTGTTACTGTTTAAGTTCCCCGGAGCTTTTGCCCCAGGCTTTCTCTCCCTATCCTCAGTCGCCCCACCTGTAGAATGGGGACACTCTAGCATGGAGTTAACACCACCAGTTCTGAGTCTGGAGCTGTGTCAGCTTCTGTGCTCGATTCTTTCCAAGTATTCATTAGCAGATTACTCCTCCTGGTGGCTACGTTCGGCCTGGGCTAGAATCCTAGCTCTGTTGCCTCCAGACCGCCTGGCTTTGGACAAGTGACTGGACCTCTCACAGTCTACCAGTCTCCAAAGCTGGAAAATGGAGACAGGAACAATGCGTCTGCATCTCTGATTTTGTTACAGAAAGGTTGAGATGACGCAGGTAAAGTGATTAGCCCAGGACCGGACCCAGAGGTAGTGAGTGGGAAATGCTCCCTGTTACTATTCTATTTAACCACAATGGTCAAGGACAGGATCCGAGTGGCTCATCCACCACGGCGTGCCCCCATGCTCAGCTCAGAGCTGGTACGTAGGAGGGCTCTGTGATTACCTGTGAATGAATGAACCTGGTCCATGGTCCCCACATGGGGAAAGCAGGCTGGAAGAGGGCCATACCTGTCCAAGATCACAGTTACCGGGTGGCACTGGGATTCAGCCCTGTCCGTGAGTCTGCCAAGGCCCCCTGGTCCAACTCCTGTATTCCTAGGGCCTTCTCTCTTGAGGCCAGGACCTGGACTAGGGAGGGGACAGGGGAACAGGGACAATCCCATGGCTAAGTAAGACAACCCAGAAGGTGACTTGGCTGTGGCTGGGTGGGATCTCAGGGTCTGGGAGCGACCCCTCAGGATGCAGTGACCCGTGCTCTCCCTTTTTGTCCCCTCCCCCCTGCCCACCATGGGTCAGTTCCCTGGTCCCAGCCTAGACATCTGGAACTGGGGCAGACAAAGGGCTGCGGGAAGGGACAATAACCTTCTGTCCATTTTCAGATGTCGGGCCGGGCCTGGCCAGGGCTGGGGGCCGGAGCCCCGGCGAGGCGGTGCCAGGCCCCCCGCGGGCAGCGGACAATGTTGGCAGTGATGGAGAGGAGGCATTTCAAAGCGTTTTGTTCCCGCTGACCCCCTCCCCCCCCAACATCTCGCCCCAGCTCGGGGCGAGGCCCCATCCCCACCCCCAGCCACCCAGGCCTCTGCTCTGGGCGGCTTGGGGACCAGCCACATTCTTGACCTCAGGGGAAAAGTTTAGACTCTTTGCGCCCTGGGCAACAATAACAGTGTCACAGAACTGATTTAGGAGCAGCACTTACCATCACAAAGCGGCAGACAAAGAGCCGGGCTGAGAACGCGCCGGGCCGCGGCAACTACTCCACCAACCACGGCTCGCTTCTCTCCAGGCTCTGCCAGGCAGGACTGGGTGCCAGGCCCCACACCCTAGGCACACCAGGGGAGGACCTGAGGTGGGCAGTGGTCAAGAAGAGACAGGGAAAACCAACCGGGAATGTGGAGGCCTGAGAGCCGTTCCTGCTCCACCACCAACTTGCTACGTGACCCTGAGCAAGTCCTTCCCCACTGTGGGCCTCAGTTTCCCCATCTGTAACAGAAAGGCTAAACTACAAGGCCAAAAGCACGAGGCTCTGATCTTGCAGGCAGAAGGGTTTCAATGAGGTTGATGATAGTGGTGATGGTGGTGCTGCCAAGCCCCCTCCTCCAACTCCTGTACCCCTAGGGCCTTCTCTCTTGAGGCCGGAACCTGGACTAGGGAGGAGACAGGGGAACAGGGACAATCCCATGGCTAAGTAAGACAACCCAGAAGGTGACTTGGCTATGGCTGGGTGGGATCTCAAGGTCTGGGAACTACCCCTTAGGATGCAGTGAGAAGTAAGGATGCAGTGAGAAGTATTTGCCACTTGGTCCTGGGCACTTCACAGGTGCCAGGCACGGTGCTTACTAAGCCCTTTCAGACCTTCATATCCTTTTTATCATGTAAACTTTCTCAGACTCACAAAGCAGATGTATAATTAGCTCCACTTTACAGTTGATAAGCTAAGGCTCAGAGAAGTTGAGTCATTTGTCCAGCGCCACACAGCCTGGAGGTTGTGGAGCCAAGACAAGGCGGAGCTGCTTCCTTCCCGAAATTATACTCCAGTGGGAAGGAGACAGGAGCAACGAGGCAGCTGGACATGGTGAGTTCTGGCTGGGAGGGCCTCCCCTCCCCACCAGAAGGCTATGAATAAAGAAATGTCTGCTCATCCCCAGGGGAAATTCCACCCTTGGAGCAGGTGCCTTTATTTTTTTTTTGAGACAGAGTCTCGCTCTGTCACCCAGGCTGGAGTGCAGTGGTGCGATCTCAGCTCACTGCAACCTCCTCCTCCTGGGTTCAAGCAATTCTCCTGCCTCAGCCTCCTGAGTAACTGGAACTACAGGCGCCTGCCACCATGCCTGGCTAATTTTTTTCTTTTCTTTTCTTTTTTCTTTTTTTTTTTGAGATGGAGTCTCCCTCTGTTGCCCAGGCGAGAGTGCAGTGGCGTGATCTCGGCTCACTGCACGCTGCGCCTCCCAGGTTCACGCCATTCTCCTGCCTCAGCCTCTTGAGTCACTGGGACTACAGGCGCCCGCCACCATGCCCGGCTAATTTTTTTGTATTTTTAGTAGAGATGGGGTTTCACCGTGTTAGCCTGGATGGTCTCGATCTCCTGACCTCGTGATCTGCCCGCTTGGCCTCCCAAAGTGCTGGGATTACAGGTGTGAGCCGCCATGCCCGGCACGCCTGGCTAATTTTTGTATTTTTCGTAGAGACGGGGTTTTACCATATTGGCCAGGCTGGTCTCCCAACTCCTGACCTTGTGATCCACCTGCCTCAGCCTCCCAAAGTGCTGGTATTACAGGCGGGAGCCACCACCCCCGGCCGCAGTTGCCTTTAAAAACGAGGTTGGAACAGCATGGTGGCTCCCACCTGTAATCCCAGCACTTTGGGAGGCTGAGTTGGGTGGATCACTTAAGCACAGGAGTTTGAGACCAGCCTGGGCAACATGGCAAAACTCCATCTCTACAAAAAATACAAAAATCAGCCAAGCATGGTGGCCATGCACTCCAGCCTGGGCGACAGAGTGAGACCGTGTCTCAAAAAATAAAAAAAAATTAAAATAAATAAATAAATAAAAGCTTGATTGATTCTTATCTGTGAGCAGAGGTGGGCCTGGGTGGACACCCAGATGCAGGGGATTGAATGCAATGACCTCCAGTGGAGGCCCCCTAGGAATCAGAGGCACTATGGAAGAACATTTAAGGGATCGGGCTCTGCAGCCAAGCTACGGGCTTGAATCCCAGCTCTTTTTCTCGCAGTGTGTCCACAGATGAGTCACTTCAACGCTCGGTGTCTCAGTTTTCCAATCTGTAACACTGACTCCACACTGCAGGAATGTGGTGACCATTCAGCAAGGTACGTGGACGACCTCAGAACAGAGCCTGACCCAGTGACGAAGGCCTGTTTCTACTCGGCAGGGTCCCCCCCAGCCAGGTCCCACCTCAAAGCAGGCACCACTGGGGTGCTGTGGCATGCAGTCAGCTGTTGACCTTGCTTTTTGGGAAGTGGTTGGGCTTTGAAGACAACGTGTGGAACGATGGTTAGACACCAAGAGCGAAGGGGTCCCCATTCTCTGGGGGATGTAAGGCAACATGGCTTCCCAGGGATAGTTAGAGGAGATTGTGGCTTCTCTGAGGCCCAGGCAGGGGCTGCTCCTGCTACTAGGCTGGGCCCTGGGCATGGTGCCTGGAGAGAGAACAGAAAGGAAAGGCCTGGAGGTGCTGGGCAGAGTTGGCTCCCTCCATCCCTCAGCCTCTTAAATTCAGGGGGAAACTGCACATGGAGAGGGAGAGACGTGGTCAAAGGTGGCTTCCATAACACAAACAGCCTGCGGTGTGATGGGGAGGCCTGGTGGGTTTGAGTACCACCAGTCTGCTGTGTCACCCGGGATGAACTGCTAACCCTCTCTGAGCTCATTCCAAAGGTCTTTTACAATCCAAAGTGTTAAAAGGAAGCCATTACAAGAGCCTCTGTGATTTCACAAATCTAATCAGGAAGTTGGCTAGGCTGGGTGCGGTAGGTCAGGCCTATACTCACAGCACTTAGGGAGGCTGAGATGGGAGGATTGCTGGAGCCCAGGAGTTCAAGACCAGCCTGGGCAATATAGTGAGACCTTATCTTTTTTTTTTTTTTAATATAAAGATACATTCCATACAAGAGAGACCTTATCTTTTAAAACAGAAATTTAAAAATCATACAAATAAAAATAAAACACAAAAAGTTGGCTGGAAATCCGGGAGTCCTATACCCTAGACTCCAGCCCTCTTGCCTCCTCACATTCCCAGCCTTCTCCTCCAGCTTCTCTAACCATCGCTTCAGCTCCCCTCACCCAGCCACCGGTGACACAGACAGAGGGTGAGACAGTCACAACAGAAAATGCCACAGAACCATGAGGACCCACAGAGATTGTGGGGGTCTCGGGGAGCCCCAACGTGGACAACCTCTCCCTCCCTCACTGCCTGGCTGTGGGGCCAGAGGAGCACTCACCCGGGCAGAGCCTCTTGGGGGTACTCCTCAGCCCAGGAGGTGGATGGCACTGCTGGGGCGTCTCTGGCATAAAGTGACTCCCACCCAGCTCCTGCTGCTGAGAAGGGCTGGTCAGGCGGGGCCCTCAGGTGCCAGACCGCCCTTCCCGGGCACAGATTTTCCTGGCATCTTCTGGGCAGGAAGGGTACTGGCTGGGGGTTGGGCAGAGGAGCAGGGAAAGATTGGAGCAAAGGTGTCTCACGGGCTTGCCCCAAACCTCCACCCCACTCTCCTTCTGGACACTGTAGGCCAAGGGTCCAGGGAGTCAGGGAGCCTCAGGAGTGGGGAGAGGTCTGATCAAGGAGGCTGAGAGGAACCCAGGCCCCTGCCCCTCCCCACTCCCATCCACTGCCAGCAGGCCCACACGGAGGTGTTTGCTTTTCCTGCCTCTACACTGAGTCCATTCAGAGCGGCCGATCCCCACCCCCGGCCGACGTCCAGCCAGCCAGGGCACCAGGGAGCGAGATCACGGCCCCCGCGTCCCCCTCCACAACCCTTCCTGCCCTCTTCACTGCGGGGGATACCTCAGCCACAAGGGCTTCCTAGTTTCATGGGCGACTGGGGCCTGGGGGGCAGGCAGGAGGAGAGAAAGAGGGAAACCAAGCGGAGAAGAGGGTGGTGGGGAGGAGCCGAGGAGAGGGACGCAGAGGAGAGGGCTCCTGATGGAGGAGGCCCAGGCAGAGATGGGGCAGGGACGGGACGGGGTAGCCACAGAGCACAGCACTGTCTAGGAGGCAGGCAGGGCCGTCTCTAACTGGTCCAGGGCCTCACAGCCTGGCTCTGCACCGGTCACAGCCAGCAGGGCCTGGAGTGGACACTGAGGATGGGAGCTCCTGGCGCCCACCTGAAAACCAGCCTCCTCCACATCCCTGGAACAGGGGCCCAGGCAGGGCTGTGACCTGGTCTGAGGCCAGGGGAAGGAGGAGGGTGAAAAGTTTCCCCAAGTCAGAAGGCCATGGGGGAGGCATCTCAGGGGGTCCTGCTCTTTGCTGTCTCTGACTGTCACGTTGGTACATAAAGGGGGTAGAAAGGTCAGATGCGGCCTTTCAGGCCCGTGGGAAAAACTCTGCCCATTTCCCTAATCCATATTTATTGGTGTGAGACACTGGGGAGGGAGGAAGCCCGCCGCCCCCACCCGCCGCCCCAGCCAGGCCAGGTTAGCACTAAGAACAGGCTCCATGTCACCCAAATCCTACTCTTTGTCTCCAGATTGGCTCCAGAGTCCTCCCCCATCCCTCCTCCCCTTGGTCCCCCCCACCCAACCCCCTTTGGGGTTGCCAAGCAACCATGGAAGGGTAGCTGAGATATTTTCTTTATTACAAGCAAAAGCAAGACAGCATCATGGCCCCAGCAGCGGAGCAGGGTGGGGGCTGAGGGAGAGGGCGTCCCGTGCTCTGGGGGGACTCAGCCACCTCCACTTGTTTTGAGAGTGAGCAGTGGGGAGACAGGGCCCCAGAGCCCAAGAGAAGGAGGGAGATGGAAGACAGTGTTGGTGAAGGGGTGGGTGGAGTGTGCAGACACTGGTCCACGCTACACAATGCTAAAAGATGGGGTGGTGCCATGAGACCCAGGCCCAAGTCTCTCACCTGCCACCCACCAGCTGTGCCATCTGCAACCAAGTCGCTTCCCTTCTCTGGGCCTGTTTCCTCCTTGATAAAATGGGAATAATAACATATATTATCTCATTTAATCCTCACAAAAGACCCAGGAGATGTTTATTTTTCCTATTTTACTG